GGGGGGGGGGGGGGGGGGTTAAAGGAAAGAGAATATTTGATAACATATTTGGAGATATTTGTGTATATATTGTTTTGGTAGTTTTCCTTGTATAGGGGTTCTTTCCTTTTTCCTTTTTCCTTTTCCTTTACTTATTAGGAGTCTCAACTTGTGAGATCATATATATATGTTCTCATTGTAAATTGTAAACCCAAGAGAGAAATACAGAGAATTTCCTCCTAAATAATTCTTTCACCTTGGGAACTATCAGACAGTGGATTGATATTAGCATATTCAATCATGTATCTAAAGAGACTAAGCCACTCGAGTTGTGGAGAAAATTGGAGGGTTTTTATGAGTGAAAGACAGCTCATAACAAGGCCTCATTGTTTTAGAGGCTTGTTAGTCTCAAGTTGAAGCCAGGGAAGTCTGTTTCTGGGCATCTTAGTGACTTTTAAAATATCATTAACAAGTTGACTGTGATGAAAATTATTTTTGATGATGAGTTGCAGGCTTTATTCTTATTGAGTTCTTTTCCAGATAGTTGGGAAATCTTGGTTGTGTCTATCAGCAACTCAGCTCCAGATGGTGTGCTTTCATTGGATGTCATTAAAGAGAGTATGTTCAATGAAGAGCTTAGAAGAAAGGAGATGGTTGTTGATGTTTCACAAGCACTTATGGTAGAAAGTAAAGGAAGAAGCAAGAGTAGAGGCTCCAAGGGACGTGACAAGTCAAAATATAGGTCCAAGTCCAAGGATGGTAGAGAGCCCATGATATGTCACTATTGTAGCAAACCTGGCCATATTAAAAAAATTTACTACTCCCCCCGTTCACTATTCACAGGGTCAAACTTCACTCACTTTTTTTCTCTATTTTTGTTAGCAATTTGATAAAATAAAATACTATTATCACTACTAGTTTTGTAGATCTTTTGATGTATTTTAATATGTAATTTTTATTTTTTTAACTATATACCATTTGCCATATAAAATAATTTGAAAATAATTTCAGTCAAACATCATAAACTGAAACAGGCATTTTAAAATGGGACGAAGGGAGTATAAAATGAAAAGAGACCAGCAAAAGAAGAAAAACGATCATCACAAAGAGGGTGATGACAAGAATCCAACAACAACAACTTCTAATTCAGATGATGGTGTTTCTTTGGTTTGTACTACAGGTTATTGTTCTCATGTTTATGATTCTAATTCTGAATGTCTTGTTGATACATGAGCTTCTTATTATTGTGTATCTCATAAGAGGTACTTTATTGACTATCGAGCTAGAGATTTTAGTAGTGTGAAGATGGGAAACGAGAGTTTAGCAAGTATTGTTGGAATTGGAGATATTCAGGTTCAAACTAGTGTTGGGTGCTATATGACTTTGATAGATGCTCGCCACATTCCAGATTTATGCCTCAATTTGTTGTCTCCTAATGTACTTGATCTAGAAGGTTACAAGCACACTTTTGGTGAGGGTAAATGGAAATTGTCTAAGGGTTCCTTGACTGTTGCTTGTGGTGAGGTTTGTTGCACCTTGTATAAGACACATCTGAAAGTGTGTACTAGTGAGTTAAATGTTGTTTAGGAGAAAACTTTGTTAGAATCAGTGCCCTTCACTAGAGGGGGGTGAATAGTGAGGGACAATAATGTTTATAAATTTTCACGGAATAAAAATCGCAGGGATAAAGTAAAGAGCGGAATAAAAAAACGTGAAGAAAAGAACACATCGATTTTACCCTAGTTCACCACAACGAGTGGCTAGTCCAGCCTCCCGAGAGACTCTCTCGAGCTACATTACTTCCGTTAAGCTTACGGGTGCTTAACAAACCGTTACAACCTGAGAACTCGAGTCCCACGAGCCTCAATACACTTGCTCGGAGATACTGCACTCCAAGACTTCAACCCGAAGGAATATGCCCTTCCTTTGTACAACCAAGGGGACAAACCTCGCTTAAAGTGTTCACGACACTTAACCACTCAAGAACAAAAACTCTTTTCAAGAGTAGAATATGAGCAAATTAATTTAGATCAAGAACACACTCAATTCCTCAAGAAATGACTCTAAAAAGCTATGTAAAAAGTTTATGGAATGATGCAATGTAAAACTATGAAATGTGTGAGGAATAGGTGTTAAAAGTAAACCCAAAAGACCCTTAGTTATACCCAAAAATGATGTGTAACGGTTGGGAGTTGATTTGGGTTTAATAGCATAATTTGTGGAAATCAAATAAAAGTAGATCTACAGAAAATTAGCCTACCCAGCGACGTGTGGATCTACCCATCGCTGGTAAGCCATTTTATCTTCAGTTTTAAAGACAACGGTCAACTACCCATGGATGGGTAAGAACTTCCCATCGCTGGGTGGGAGGTTGACTTTCAAACAAGGAAAGAATCAGCCTTAAATGTCTTACAACGGTCATGCCTTCCCATGGATGGGTAATATCCTCCCATTGCTGGGAAGTCACTTACCCATGGATGGGTAATATCTCCCATCGCTAAAACATCACAAAACAAAGCAACTAAAATGATTATTTTGTCACACCTTCAAGAAGGTGATACGAATGATTCTCACCACTAAGAAGAAGAGAACAACTTCGAGTTGAGGTGTAGGACAATGCTATAAGCTAGCAATCTTCCCATCGAATAAGCAAATGTATCACGTCGTATTGAGTACTTTCGGCTGTAGTCTCTAATGTTAAGCAGCCACTTTGAGGATGAAATAAACAGTTCATGATCTACAATGCACTTTTTATCCAATTGGTTGTAATTGCTACTCATATCTTTCAACCCGACACCAAAAAAAAAGAAGGGATCATGAATGAAAAGTAAGCTGATGCACAGCATTGGTCACAACTTCCTCTGTGGTAGTGCCTAACATCTCATTTGCGTCTTTCACATCAACCGATGAGTACAGCCCATCCTGGTTCTGAGAAAGAAAATAAACAATCCCACAGTGCGTAAATATGTGACATATAGGGAGCACATAAGGTTATGCTTCAGAAATCACAGCTTAGGTAGCAGTTAGCCTATAGAGTTTTCATCTCAAGCATTTCTTTATCTATCTATTGTGAGCTAATATTATGAACAAAAGAAACCAATTAAGAAGTGTTCTTACCTTATAAACAATGCCCAGCTTCTCTAACTTCTGAATTGCATCATCAACATCGAAATTGCAGCTCTCGTTGAATTTCTCTTTGATAAGTTCCTCACATCTCTGGTCAAGACCCTGCAGGTTCATCATTCATTATTTGAAAAGTAAAAGTAATTAGCATTTAATGATATTAGAAAGAAAAAACTTGGAAAGAAAAAAAACAAAAATGACTAACCTGCCTGTTGAATTTTCCGTGTTCCATCAGCACAAAGAAAGAAACAATAACTTCTTTAACCTGTGTATATATAGCAATGCCTTCCTAATTTAAATAAGTCATACATTTCATACTCAAGAACAATAGAAAGATGTTTAACTATCAAAAAACAAACACAAACACAAAGCTACTTGCCTGCCAATAAAGATCTAAAACATGATTTTGCCTGGTTGATTAGTGGAAAATCAAATGTTGTACTCTTTATATATCAACAGGTAACTCATATTGTCATGTTGAGATGAATAAGTTGGGAATGATATAGTCTTATTCACCCAGAAGATACAACCAACCAAGAGAAAGAATGCTTATAGTAACTAACTAGCAACTTACTTCCTGTTGGATCACATCATCACATAGGTGAAGCAAAGTGCCTCTCCCACTATCTAGTTGTTTGTCATACATCGATCTTGTGATTAAATTCTGATAATCCCTCAAATTCTTATTATACCTGGAAGCATGAATATTAGTAAAGTCAGCATAAACCCAGCCAATGGATTTAAGCACACTGGTTTTAGACACTTATAACGACGGTTCAGCCTCTTCAAAACATGTTCATAAACCCTACAATTTTTTTCCTTTGTTCACTACAGGATTTTTTTGTCAACCCCCTGAGTGAAACTCTTACTATCTGCAGCAGCATGAGCACAACCCCATGCCTCAACCCAAACAAGGTTTAGGGTTGGAATTTGGAAATCAGAGCCCTACCCTCAACCACAATTCATAGAAATGCTTTCATAAGACTTTCCCTTGAATGGAACAACTATCTGCTGAATAGCAGAGAGACAATTTAATGAGTTATTTTCCTTAAAAAACTAAGTTATTTTGATTCAGTAAAGAATAATACAAAGACCATGAATAATGAATCTTTTCCCTATAGTAGTGTTCAGTATTTCAGAGAAAAGAACACTCAACGTGAAATATGTTTTAGCAACATAACCAGCTACCGCAGAGCAGACAGTTGCCAAGACTTTTATATCAGCTTTGGACTTGGCAAGCTGAGAGGCTACAGTTACCTGCAGAGTACATTAAAATGGGTATCCATGAAAAATGCTGACAGTACTAATGAACAGTAGCTCAAGATATCAAAAACTGCCAGGTACTGACCAGTCCAATGGCAGCTGAAATCAGAAACTTAACCCAATCAAGTGGCGTTAGTCCAGGATTCTTCTTTTCAGGCTTCAAAAAACATAAATTTTGAGCTACATATAGACCTGGCAATCGGGTCAATCGGTTCGGTTCCAGTTTGGATCTTTTCGGTTCGGGTCTCTCTCGGATATATGTTATAATCGGTTTGGGTCGGGTCGGTTCAGTTCGGATCCGGGCTTAATTTGGTTTGATTTTTTCCCGATTTCAATCTGGTTTTGGTTCGGGTTTATTTTGGTTCAGGTTTATACCGGTTAAGGTTTTTACCGGTTCGGGTTTATACCGGTTTCACATGAGATCCCCTTGGTATTAGAGTTCGTAATATTAGCCTTGTGTGTAGCCTCCCCTCCCTGTGTGTAAAGGGGGTATATATACATGTGTCAACAATAATGAGTCAGTATATCCATCAATGTGTGTTACGATGTCACTATAAATAATATATACTATGTATGAAAATAGACAACCACCTTAGTTTAAGTGATAAAATACGGAATAAAAAATTTGTACATGAAATTAGTTGTACCTATAGTTTAAATATGCTTTTCTGAAAAAAAGACATCAACCAATGAGCTATTAGGTTTGACTGGATTTGAGTTTAATTGTGTTGAATTTGATCAATATTGGGTCTAATTGGTTTTGAGTCTAATTGGTTTCGGGTCCAACCGGTTCTGGGTTTAATCAGTTCGGGTTCAACTGGACTCAGAGTTGAATCGGGTCTGAATACATTTGGTTCGGTTCGGATCATTTTGGGTGTTTGGGTTTTATTCGATTTTTCGACTTTTGGGTTGGATTCGATTCCGGGTTATTCGGTTTGGGTTATCGGGTCCGGGTATGTTTTGCCAGGTCTAGTTTCAAACTTGACATCAGATTATAGTAATTTCTGAAAAAATGTGTTACTGAGTATTATATTGTTCAACATGGAGAGGTAATATAACCGTACAAGAACTATTTCCATATCAGCCATGGGAATGTTTTTGAAGTGCTTGACATAAATTCCCCTACAATCTGCCTCCCTAGATTGTAACCTGCAGGTATTCTATCTTTAGGAAGTTACAAGTGCCCTCTACATTCACAGAGAGTCTAAAAGCAAGATGGAATGAGGTTTGTTAGCACAAATTTAAATATTCTCTACATATTAGTAAAGAAGACCTTATTTCAAGAGTTTTTACACCTCGAAAGTCGAACTAGCAGACCTGTAGCATCTTATATTTAAATATAACACATGCTTTAATAATAACATCAACTTTATTAAAGTCTAAAAGTGTTTTGTTTCTCGGTCGGGGTAGCAAATATAGCAATGGTGAACCTAAATATTTTTCAACCGGTCCTTTACACTTTGTAGCATTGGATGTACCTACTTTTCAGTAAAAATCCAAAAGTAAATATTCTCAAATCTATGTGTAATGATAATCAACCAAAAAATTCAACTCGGGACATTGGCCCCCAAATCTAACATGGTAGACCTAGACCAGTGTTTGAGATGTGATATGGAGTAGGAATTAAAGTATAATTAAAGAAGAATTACCGGTATACAATTATAATCCTCTCAAAGGTTGGTTCTTGAATTGTCGTCTTACTCAATAAGTTGCCAATACTGAATAAAAAATGTCGATTATTGGAACCGGCCACAAAAAATGTAAAATGCAATGTGACCAACCAACTAATGAACCAAAACCATAATCCAAGAGAAGTGAGCAACAACATTCGACACTCTTGTCATCACAAATCATGCAGGATACTTAGAGTTATTCAAGGACATGTAAGAACCATTCCTAAACACAGTAAACACGTAATATCACAAAACAGACAAACTAAATAATGTTGAAGAGGGCTAGCATTATGCATTCAGAAAATTTTTGGATGCATGTTTTGTGATCAAAGCGCTCAAAAAATGGAAACAATCAAAATTTTACACAACTTACACACCCTCATTTGACAATTGTTTGTGATCTATACACAAGTAAAAATAGTCATGTGAGATCTTGTTAGATTCATCTCGATAAAAATCATCATATTATCAATATTTTATAATTTTTATTATAGTACATTTTAAGATAGTATTGATTTAACTTGTGCATTGGTAAGTGTGAAAGTTCCTATGTTGCACTTATTTTGGAGCGGAGAAAGTATCATTTAAAAAATGCATTTCATAGGACTGTAGTTATGGGCTTCTAGGAGAAATTAGTAGGCTGATTGAAAATTAGCATGGTCAACAACACTCAACAAGCTGGTAGGCAAGTTAATTCTTTGTTGAACTTGCAAATGTAGCAAGCAAATGGAGGAAGTGTTTCTATGTGCTAATAATCCTAGGCACAAAGGTGAACGGACATTTCTACAGGAGATTCACATAGAGTTTTAAGAGTTATGGTCCCCATCAAACTTAGGTATGGAAAGTGGAATTTTTTGGAGTGTGAAATATCTCATCTGACATGACGGTGCCATGTTCTACGTTATTAGTGTTTCGTTGACCAAGCATGAAACACATGATGTCACAGAAGAAAGCACAGTATAGAAGACTAATACGAGCTGTAACACCTCGGCCCCCACCCTGGCCGTTAGTGTCTTCACATAGGATTGTAGACTGGTCATATAAACCAAAACAGGTCTTTCCCGCGCACTTTGTCATTACTCGTGCACGCCCAAAGAACTTCCCAGTGGTCACCCATCCTAGAATTGCTCCAAACCAAGTACGCTTAACTTTGGAGTTTCTAAGTGATGAGCTCTCGAAAAGAAGATGCACCTTGTTGGTATGAGTAGTTCTATCAATCCTTTTGAGCTCTTCCTGTTCCCATCTATAATACAGGGTATCACATTCACCCCCACTTAGGAATGCAACGCCTTTGTTGCATCCTTGTTTTCAAACCCCTAGATCTTCCCGCTAGGTGAACTAAGCTCTCTTTGCCCATCACAGTCGCAGGGTAGCTCTAATACCATTTGTAACACCTTGGCCCCCACCCTAGCTGTATGTTTCTGCTCATAAGATTGTAGACTGACCCCACAAACCAACACAAGTCTTTCCCACGCACTTTTTTCACCCGTGCGCACCCAAAGAACTTCACAGAGGGTTACCCATCCTAGAATTGCTCCAAGTCAAGCTTGCATAATTCTGGAGTTTCTAAGTGATGAGCTCTCGAAAAAAGATGCACCTTTTTGGTATGAGTAGTACTGTCAATCCTTTTGAGCTCTTCTCATTCCCATCTTAACACGGGGTATTACACGAGCCCTATAGCATAAATGTAAAAACATGAAAATGTAAAAAGAAACGCAATTGTTTGAGCAGGAGAGTCCATGTCAGTGCAATAACCCTCCACTAAATCTCATAAGTAGCCTGCATAAATTACCTTTTCCTTCCTAACCACCGAACCAAGCGATTTCTAAATGTCTAAGAGGGTGCATCTCACATTAAGTGTTTTAAACATACCAATTCACAGTGATTAAAAGCTTCTATTGGCAAAGAAACAGCAACACATAAAATATTCATCAAATGTAATTGTTGAAATATTTGAATTAAAACCTACTTTGAAACTCATTCACACACAACACTTTCCTTCTACCTTCCTAGGACCTTTCTAGGTTCCTTTTTAATGGTCTAGTTAAATTCCGGTTTGGAACCCTCGCAAGGATGATCCTTCTTTGTGAGTATGTAGCCAAGGTCTCCGAGCCACACCATCATTGCCTGATCAATGTTGAGGCTATCTTCCAAATTGAGGATAATATCTCCCAAACCAAGTACCAAGTTTAGGGCTACATGTTCATAGTGATCAATGTAGTATAATTCAACCTTTCTCGTCTCCTTCATCAGCTTCCTCATTATTTGGTTAGCAAATACTAGTATGTTTCTGCTCACATTGATCTTCTTCCATTGCATCTGACTCTGATTTTCCTTGACGATTTAAATTGTTTAATCTTGTTTTACACTAGGCATATATGCTACGTTCCAGTTAAGCCTCTCCGGCATAACCCTATCATAGTCTTGTCATAGTGTGTGTTGTTATAGTCTGATTGTTCTCTCACGGAAGTGAGATTGTTCAATCGTTAGGACAACTACAGATTGATTCGGACCCAACCAGAAGGAATAGATCCTTCGTTAGGAATGTCATGTCTAAACCTCACCAACTTCTCGAGATCATCATCAAAGCCCATTAATAGTTTTTTAAGCTGGGGATTTTGATTATGATAGAAAAGGAGAAGAGAATTAAATACAAGAAATTTCAGGCTATAATTTCTGAACTCAACACTTGGATTCTTATCTAACCCTCTTCTCCTCTTGTATCCTATTATTCAAAAATCCTCATTTGTTAACAAAACAGCTGATAGGTGTTGATTTAAAACATTCGGTTCCGTTGAGGAATCTCATGTTTTATGATCCGGTGAGGTTTAGAAATGGCATTCATTAACAAGAAAACAACTTGCTGCAATAACACGGGAAGTGGATGAGTTGTTCAATTCCTTCCAATAGGTCCAATCCATATTAGCAGTTTTCCAAGCGATCAAACAATCTCAGTATTGTGAGAGAGTAGTCACATTATGATAAGTTATGCAAGAGGCTTAAATGTAACATAGATATATGTCTAGAGTAAAAAAGCAGATCCAACAGTTTTAATAAGTCAGAAGGAAAATCTAAGTAAAATGCAACTGGAGAAGATGGAGATGAGCATAAGCAGGTTCATTTTTAAAAAAATATGGTAAAGCTGATGAGGTAGGAGATATTGAGTTGCCCTGCATTGGTAAGATTGATCACAATGAATGAATGAATGGGTATCCCTAAACTTGACACTTAGTTTGAGAAAGATTATCCTCAACTTGGAAGACGCCCTCTACATTGATAGATGACGAAGGTGCAGCTTGGAGACCTTCGTTTCATACTCACAGAGAAGGTTCATCCTGGCAGTGTGTAGACCTGACGATTTAGGCCATTTTTGGGTTCACCTTGAGTCAATTATTTTGTCCTTTTCAAGTGGCAGTTAATGTTTGTTTTTGGGTCACTCGGGTCTGGTGACTTTTGCCAAGTCTAGTGGCATGCCAAACAAGGCATTCGACTAGGAAGGTAGAAAGAAGGTGGTGGTGAGAGAGAGAGAGAGATATAAGATCTGGATCACTTATGGTAGAAGGCCACATCAGCACCCTTATTTAATTGCTCTATATAATTTAATTGAGTTTGTTGATGTTTAAATTAAATCACTATCCAAAAAAAATTGTTCAGTGATATTGAGATTCTCTTGGCTTATATTCGTTTTCAGGGTGAGATTCTTATTGTGAGAAGGGAAGGAGAGTTCTATTTAGGGTGTGTTTGGTTGGGGGAAAATATTTTCATGAAAGAATATTTTCCAAAGGAAAATTATTTCCAAAGAATATTATTTTCCATTCATATATTCCGTTTGGTAGAAAGGAAAATATTTTCTTAAAAATTAATTTCTGTTATTAATATTTAAAAATTAATATTCAAAAAGATGTTTTGAGACAATTTAGTACTCTAGTAATGTTTTGGTAGCATAGGGGACGACGTATAGTGGGTGGTGGCGGGGCCAGAGGTGGTTGGATGATGTTCATGGGCAGGTGGCGAGTGAAGAAGAATGATGGGTGGGTGGGTGGGGTGGGGGTGAGGATGGGATGGTTGGCGGGTGTAGACGGGGCAGGGTGTGGATGGGGGAGGGTAAGAGTGTGAGGAGTGGGGTGACAGGGTGTGGTGGATGAGAGTGATAGCGTATG